AAAAAAAAAAAAAAAAAAAAAAAAAAAGAAAAAGAAGCACGCGAGAAAGAGAGGGAGAGGGAGAGAGAGATAGAGAGAGTGAGAGTTGGCTCGTTAACGTAGGTGTTTTCACTTATTCGAAACTCGGCTGCATTCGAACAATTACCATACGAAACTTTTACACGGCCATATTGTTACACGCGCTGTATAATAAAACGTTCTGAAATTTTATTAGCGCTGTTAATGAAACTCGACTCCGCGTTTGCTCCGCGCCGGGCTCTGTTGTTTAAATTTCCAAACCGGTTGGGAAAAATATTTATTTACAGGGTGTCCTCCCGGGTGGATGCCAAATAAATTTACCCCCGGTGCCGGTGCGTTCGGCAGGCCATTCCGAAACAAAGAGAGAGAGAGAGAGAGAGAGAAAATGGTACCCACGGTATACGATACACCCAGAGTTCTCGCTTGCTCGGTTTTTATTTACTATTTCGGAAAATAGATTTCGCCATCTGGGAGCGTGAAAAAAAAACAGTATCTTCGGTGAGAACAAACGAGAGCACATTAGCAAAATCTGTTTCCCATAAATAGTTCACCGCGTGCGGAGGTAATGTGCGAATAACGAGTTGTACAGGGTGGGCCGAAAGTTTCTTCTTTCCACCTATTCGTTTCTTTTTAAATGAAACGTCAAAATATATCATAAATGATATAATATATAATAAATAATAAATAAATCAGACAGATTATAAAATATATAATGAATAAATTAAAATAATAAACTACGGATTATATAATGTGTAATAAATAAATTATAATAATAAACTACGGATTATATAATATATAATAAATTACAGATTATATAATATATAGTAAATATATAATAAATTATGGATTATATAATATATAATAAATAAATTATAATTATATAATAAAAATATAATAAATATATAATAAATAAATTATATAATAATTATATAATAAAAAATTACGAATTTATTTTACTAGAAAGTGATTTTTTTTTGGCCAACCCTGTACACACGCGGCAATACAAGAGTCAAGAAAAAAAAAAAAAAGTAACGTATTGACACATTTGTAATTCCAGTATCATTTCAGTTAATCGTTTAATGCCGAAACGTTATTAGAGAAATGGCGGAATATCATGTCGGAATGTCATCGATGTCGCGCCAACGCTTAGAAACGAACGGTTGCCTTTAAACGTCGGATGGAAAAAGTTACGGAACTTCTAAGTAGGTTCTATTCGAAACGTGGATGGGTAGAACTTTTACGAAAAATGCTCGTACGTTGCAGGTCATCGATGAGAAGAGATATAAATAAAATGTTCTTAAAAACAAAAGTTCCCGGACAGGACGGAACTTGCAAAGTATAAAAATGAAAATTTTTACCCGTCGAATATTGGCGGCAGATAATTTGTCCGCCAATATTAAAAAAGTTCTCGATATGCGCGGCGAACAGCGAACACTATTCGATGAATGTAAAAATGGATTTTTAATTAAACGTTCGAGAACAACTCGCTTCCCATGGAACTTTTATTATGCAGATTCGAAAATATCGGTTTCACGAGAGCACTATTCAAAAGTACTTTTTTTTTTTCACGAAAACAAATACTTTTTTTTTCTTTTTGTGACAGGAAATATATATATATATATATATATAAGTTGGAAGGGAATTTTTTTTGAAAACGGTAAGAACCTGTCAATTTCGATCCTCGCTTTAGAAATATCTCGCATTCTATTTTCAAATAGAATACGACAGAAGCTGCAGAAAGAATCCTGTCGATATTCTTTTGATTCTTGAATTTTTTTATCACTTATTATTCATAAAAATCATTAAAAATATTTTGTACTCTGCTTAAATACACGGTAGAGTTGCGAAAGTGAGTACTACTCACGTGTCGACAGCTTTTTGATTTTTCGATTTTTATATGTTACATTTAATCTTTGTATCATTATTGTATTATTATTGTATAATTCATCAAAAGTATCATCAAAAGTATTTTGTACTCTGCTCAAATACACAGCAGAGGTGCGAAAGTAAGTATTACTCACGTGACAACAGCTTTTTGATTTTTCGATTTTTTATATGTTACATTTAATCTTTGTATTATTATTGTATTATTATTGTATAATTCATCATTGGAAACTGTTGTTACTTCCGTGTGTAACAAGCTACTTGTGGAAACAGGTTTTGTTAATGTATCATTTTCACAAAAATATTGCAAGAGACATGCTTTTTTGACATATTGTAATTGGAACAGAGAACTATAATTTTTCATATCTTTTCACATCTTTTTTTACTCGTGCAGGTGAAAAGAGGTATGAAAATGACGACTAGAATCACACGAAAACCTAACGCAAACGATACGGCAATGTCATTAGCAACGCCATTAGAAATTAACACCGATCATCAAACAGATGGTTAATAGAGTTATGATTGCAGGGGGAATATCATCATTTCGAACTCTTTTATAATCCGTACTCTGTATTTAATGAGAAACGATACGAAATGTACGAGAAATAAAGAAACGATCCCTAAATTTCATTAAAAAAAAAAAAAAAAAAAAAAAAATCTGCTTTCTCGAAATAAATAAAAGACCAGACACAGAGTGACGAATTTTCATTCAAAATGAATGCGAAACACATCAGTATAGTTATCCGGTTTCCTGCTGCATATAAATTGCAGTATTAAATATGGTCCATTGAACGTGGAGATTTATTGATATAATGGAAAATTGACTCCGAAATGTACGGTTATGCCGATACAATCATGATAATCAGGTTTACAGCGCTAATGAAATTTCGGAATGCCTCGTGCAAGATAACGTAACGTATATTACCGAAATAATCTCTACGACTGTCCGAGCAAATTTGCTACTGCACGTCCGTCTGTTTCTCAACGATGCAAAATGATCTCGAACATTTTTTTTTTTCTTCTTTTTTTTTTTTTTTTTTTTTTTTTCTTTTTTCGGCGCCCGATCGAACAGTGACAACAGTCAAATTTTTCATATCGTCGTTTTACGGTTAGGTGCGTTAAACCGTGCCCGCATCGACAATGAAAAAATTGTCGATAATTTAAACCGACGTAACTTTGTAAAGAAAAAAAAAAAAAAAAGAAAAAGATTCACCATCGTTTTAGAGATCTAGAAGTCTTCCCCCCCTTCGTAACGACGTTGAACGCCAGCGTTAAAATTCAAAATCGCTTCGAACTCGTCTAACCTTGAGAGAGATTCCAAGTCGCAGCGCGAGTATTCAAGGCGGCGAATCAACATCACGAAGGACTCGGCAAGAAAATTCTTTTCCAACGTTTCGTATTTTGAGGATTCACGAGAGAGAGAAAGGATTCGCACTCAAATTACAAATTACAAGATTACAAATCTGACAAAAAGGAGAGAACGACGAACTGCCAACGCAGAGGCTACGAAACGCTTTCAAAACGAGACTGAAACGATCGTCATCTTCTTTTTCTCAAGATAAGTAAACGTCGGTTTGAATTATCCACAATTTTTCATCGCGCGTTGCCAACAATTATCCTGTTCATCGACGATATTTGACACACGAAGCGAGAAAATGACAAATCTGTTTCCCGCGACGTAACAAACACAAACGGCACACTATAGTATAGTATAGTATAGTATAGGAGATAAGCATACGTAAAGTGGTCACAGACTCACCTCCCTCCTCTTTGGTGGAATCTCTCGACGTCGTTTGCTTTTGCAGGTCCGCGGAAGCGGGGAACACGAGTACCAATAGGAACAAAATCGTCCAGGCGGACGCACGCTTCTGCCTGGTCCAGCGGAACGAGCTCTCAAGCCTGGAACCGCTCCACCGTACCACGCTGGCGACGTAGCTGCTCGAGGAATCGTCGGACATCGGTCTTTCGCGGCGCGATATCCTCGGGGAAGTGATCCTCGCCGCGTGTTCCGCCAGCAGCACGTGCCGCTGCTGTCCGCGTCTCGTCATTCCTCCACGCTCGAGGCGCTCGTCCTTCGTGTCTCGTCCTCTCTCGTCTTCCTCCAGCGCAGTCCTCGAGTAATAATCGCAGCTTCGTCCGCGAAGCCGCTCGCAGAGATCGCAGCGAACCAAGTCCCTTTGATCCGACGACGAGAGAGAAGAAACAATCCGATCGTGATCGTGATCGTGATCGTGATCGTGATCGTGATCGTGTCGGTGTGGCTCGCGATCCGGCGACGCGGTGACACTGCCCGGCGAATAGTGGCAGTGACGGAGAACAGAGTCGGTATCGGTCACGCTGGTAACTGCAGTCGGACAGCAGGTGGTTCCGGGGACGCTGCTCGCGCCGGAGGAACGACCGTCGACGGGGGTAGCGTTGATCGAGAGACAACAGGAGGTCGGGCGAAACTTGGCCGTCGACTCCTCGGACAACGCCGCTACGCTGCCACCGAGTCTGCGCGTACACCACGTTGACGACTCCATGTTCCTTTTTTTTCTTTTTTTTCTTTTTTTTTTCTTTTTTCTTTCTTCGATTCCTCGTAGACGATCGACGACAAACGGAGAAACTTTCTCTCACTCTCTATCTCTCTGTCTTTCTCTCTCTCTCTTTCGTTGACTCGCTCAGTCCAGGCTCAATCTCTATTATTACGTGATCGATCGAGATTCTTCGCTTCGATCTTCGATCTTGTCGTTCATCTTCCTCGAACTCGATCCAGTCTTCTTCCGCGAGAAGCTCGGCGCGCCCACCCACCACTCGAGGAAGAATCAGAAACGCGAAGGGTGGACGAAGATTCGAGGAAGATCGACGAGGCTCAGGACCAGTCGGAGGAGGCTCGTTGTTCGATCGCTGCTGGAAGAGACATCTTCGTCCCGCGCGCTGATCTCAGCTGAATCCTACGTCGAGCATCGGCCAGATATCAGTCTCTTCGGGCGAAGAGGCAACATCGGCGATGATCACGCGGCACGAACGACGCCATCGGGATCGACGATTGAAGAAGAAGTCAACTTTCTATTGCGAGCCTCCTCCCTTCCCTGCCCCTCCACCCTCTCCCGCAGCACGCAACAGTCCACTATTCTCTCTCCTCTCTTGTAAGAAGAAGAAGAAGAAAAAAAAAAAGGAAACAAGTAGCTTCGACCTCTGGCTCTTTGCTACTCTCGTCGACGCGTGCCGGCCGTGTCCGCCCACGATATTAATATCCTGCAATCAGAGAATTTCAACGCGTTTAAAATTCATTCGCGTGGCAGCTGAAAGTCAAAAACATGAATTAGAGCGAAAGATGAATTCGGGCAACGACTAAAACGAAACGAAAGTTCGACGCGCTTTGCGTACGCGGAACTTTGCATTTAATCCGAGAGACGGAGAGTCGTTAAAAGGGATCGAGATCGATCACTGTATGTTGTACAACGATCGAGCTCTGCTGCTCCTCTTCTTCTTTCTCCTTCCTCTTTTTTTTTTTTTTTGCTCGATGAATTACACGACTCGGGGGTACGCGCGTCGAGAGCGAGATCGTTCGCATCGTACCCCTTTAAATTCGCTTCGGTAATTTGGTAGGTAGAAGGCTCGCGATTAAATAACCGAGCCGGAGGGCGATGATATTTAACCGGAACCCGATGCACTTGGCTGACAAAGTAAATATTAGGAAATAAACGTTCGCATGAATTTTGCGCAGCGTCGACGTGCCGAGCAAAAGCCAGGGGGGGTCAGAGGCTGGCTCTGTCATTTAATCAGCCATAACGGCCGGCGAACGTGTGCTTTTTCGCTGCGCTTATCACCCGAGCGTCGAACGAAGTACTACCTATATCCTGTCGGCCAATTTTTCTCTCCCCCTCCCCCTTCCCTCTCCCCCTCCCCCTCCCCCTTTTCCCTTGCCGATTTTCTCGCATTCCACGTGCACGCGTACATATATATGCACACATTCCGGTGCAATTACCGGATGCTTTGTAACGCAACGTTTTATTGATCGACGCGTGAACCAAACGCGGATTGGCCCCGACGTTTTTAAACCGAGAGCAACCCCCGCCAATAAAAAAAAATTATTGCTCATCCAACGACCAATTAGAATTTCGCCTGGCTCCTCGAACGAACGAAACGATTCTTGGGCTCGACGGGAGATATTCGCCGAGATGTTCTCGAAAGATGCACGCACTTTCTTACGTTATTACGATCCTCATGTTGGTGGAACATGTTCCAGAGAATCATTTACTCGGGGAGATCTTCTCCCAATGGAGCGTGGCGATAGCACAGAGCTGAAACTTTAAAAAAGCGTTTCTCTCGGAATGAAATTTTCAAAACTGGCGGCAGGGATATTCCTACCTCCTGGTATTATCCAGTGTATTTGACGAAGCGAAATTTCGATTCGCCTTTTTATTTTATTTTTTCTTCTTTTTTTTTTTTTTCTTTTATCGAAGAGAGCGGAGAATTTACAACGAAAATTACGTTAAATTCAAGTTTAGACTTCGGATACTCGCATTTTTCTTTTTCAAAAATCAACTTCGACGAGCATCGGCCTCTCTCGTGGAATTTAACTTGCAAAAATTAAAAAAGATTTGCTTTAGATAAAACTCGTCGGATATAACCGGGCTTAGATAAAACCAGGATATATATACGTGGTACAGCAGACTGGTGTTTCGATGAAACGACTATGGTTGAACATACTGCCCTGTCCTCTTATCTTCGTATATTTAGCTCAAATTTATAGGAATCATTAAATGAACAACATGCAGGTACTGGCGCTTCAAATTAACCATATTTTGCAAACCGTATTCGCTATAAATTGACTCTTTTGCAAATCGTATTCGCTATAAATTAATCCTGTTGCAAATCGCCGTTTACCATTTTTGCGAATCAAACTTCACCCTTTATCGCAGATCAAATTCAAAGTTCTACAAGTTTCGCCCCATTTCAAGTTTCTTCCTTTGCAAACTTGTTTTCATCGAGGGCGTCGCAATAAAAATCAAAGCCGGCGTAAAGTTTATTATTCCGAGATGATAATTTTATCGCGACGCGCGTAATAACACTCGAGCAAACAAACGCAAAACGACGTATCAAATTGATACGAAGTATTTGTTGAATACTAAAAATATATTATATACACACGATAATTTTACGCACATGTTCGTACATATTGACAACAGAATGATCAACCAAATAAATACTCGCAGCTTCGAGTGTCAGCGAAAAATATTTAATTTTTCAAAAAACTTCTTCGACGGGGTTCCGTGGCGATAGGAAATAATCGCTTCGATTTTTTTCTTTTTTGAGCCACCCCCGCCATGGGTAAATTTGATTTGCAAAAAAGGGTGGTGAATTTGATTTGCAAAAAGGCGAAACACTAGCAACCGGCGAAACCCGCAAACCCCGCGGAATACGTTATATTTTTTTAACGAGATACAATTTCGTCTCCAAAGGAGTCTCCACCGAACTTTCCCTATTTCACCGCCAACCACGCCGTTCAAAGATATCTCTCGTATCCAACTTTCTCCAAGTTCCACACGTAGCACACGTAGAACGTTAGCTCCTCGTGCGTGGCTTCTCCGCGAACCGGAAGAACACAGTGTATTTTCCGAAGCGTTTCCCAACTTATCCAATCCCCGTGCGATCCATCGCGCTCCGAGTCGGGGTAAATTAAACGTAACGCGACGAGGCGAGAGACGCTCGCAGTTTCACTCAACCATCGTTCCCCCCGATGGCGACAGTTAAACGTCGGGTCTCCCTCGAACGTCCACTCCCCCCAACCACGATTTTAATTCGTTTTGCAAATAATTTCCGTCGTTGGCAGCGGTAAAACGCGAACACGGTGGAAACAGCCGGCAGCCAGAATTGAAAAATCCGGCCGGCTGGGTCGCGGATAGTACAAAGCGGTGATCCGCGGCGGATGAGTCACGGAAAAACCGCGAGAACGAGTCGAGGGAAAAGATCGGCGGCGCGGCGGGCATCCCAGGGGCAATAAATTCGGTTAAAATTGGAGAGGTGCACGGCCGGGCTCCGGTTTGCGTAGCCAGCTCGCGGCTGATTTCACGACGAGCACAAAAGCTCGCTCCGCTCACGGCGTGTGTCGGCGAGCAATATTCCGCGAGGACGCGCGGCAGCAAGCGGTCCATCGTCCGAATTCGCCGCTACGAAGTGGTCAAACGATGCACGATTTCATTATGCGCGCAGCCTTGTACCATGGGAGATCCTCCATTCTCTCTCTCTCTCTCTCTCTTTCTTTCTTTCTCTTCTTCATTCTTTGGTCTTTTTTTCGCTTTGCCGCTCCCCCGATATCTTCGTTTTATCGTTCCTGTTTATTTAACATTCTCTCTCGGGCCGACTCTCCAGAGTATTTCATTCAGCCCCGCGAGCAGAGTGGAATATATTCGTATTTTCAATCTGCCGGGTCAAGGAAACGCGCGCGAGTTTTTCAATCTGCGATGGGTTTCACGCTTGCACGTATACAGGGTGTCACGTTTATTCGGCAAAGGTAGTGTTATACCACGTCTGAGCTTTCTCTATAAAAAAAAAAAAAAAAAAAAAAAAAAAAAAAAAATATTCACCTACTCTCGCCGAGGAACCATTGGTTCGGTAAATATTTTCACTTCAACTCTGCCAAGTTTATCAGGCACGCGGTGAAACTGAAGACAAGATATATATCCAGGAAAATCGATCATGCTCGGAACTACTACGTTCGAAAATATAGAAAACGGCCGGAATCGTTCGAAGATATACGGCTTCATATTTCCATCGAGATGCTCGAAAAACGCAACTCGATTTTTAATCCTCCTCCGCCCAGGCCATAATACGCCTCTCCTCCGTGCCGGAGAGAACTTTCTCCGCAACTTCGGAGCCTCACTCACTCTCTCTCTCTCGCCAGCGGTATTTCCATTTTCAGCGAGAGATAAAAAGAGAGCACCCAGTATTTGCTCGTCTATGTATATTTATTTTCCATATGTATGTATTCCGTGAATGTTTTTGGGATTATTCCGGTCGGTGATATGATCAGGGGGGCTTATCTTTACCTTTTTCCGTTTCCACGGGGGTTCTTCTTCGGTTCTATTGCCAGCGACGTACGGTGTGTACATTTCTATTTTTTTTTTTTTTTTCTTCGCCCCCTCCGCTTTCCTTCTGTTTTATATTTTCTATCGTTGGGGGAATTGCAATGTCTATTACGTATGTTTGTTTCGTCTGGTCCAACCCCCCCTCCCAATTCTCGTGCGTGCTATCTCAATATACAGTTTAATTTCTTCGTTTACCAGAATTGTCTCTGGCTTGTAACGCGGTGCTTTCTTTGCCGTGGGTTGACGTTTTAATACCGTTGCTTATTGTACGCTATGTCTGTCGGTCGCACCCACTGGTTATATTGTTATTACCGCTGCCGTTCCTTGCTGCGCGATTTATTTCACGAATTAACGAGTTGCGCGTAGATCTCGATGGGATTTCCTTTGAGACCTGTTTCGCAGGTAATCTTAATAAAATAATTGGTTCGTTTGTGTCAGGGGTACAAAGAGGATAACACGTCGCCATACATCGAGATGAACGTTTCACTCTTCGTTTAACCTCTTTGCGCTGGAACGACGTGCCACGCACGTCGAGAATTTTCTGTTCCAAAGTTGTAATATTTTTCTCAGTTTTAAGTATATGTAAGTAACAAATAATAAATTTATTACTTCTCAATCATTTCTATCTAGTGATAAAAAGAAAGCGAATTATTGTATACGGCTTGGGTCACTCGTTATGGTCCGCAATCAGTTGCCACGCACGTCGAAAATTTTTCTGTCCGAAAATTGTAATATTTTCTCAGTTTCAAGTATATTTTAAATTAAAAAAAAAAAAAAAAACAGGCAAAACACATGATAAATTTATTACTTCTGAATAATTTCTATCCAGTGATATCGTACCGACGAGATCAAAAAGAAAACGAATTATTGTATACGGCTTGGGTCACTCGTTATGGTCCGCAATCAGTTGCCACGCACGTTGAAAATTTTTTGTCCCAAAATTGTAATATTTTCTCAGTTTCAAGTATATTTTAAATAAAAAAAAAAATAAATAAAACAGGCAAAACACAAATGATAAATTTATTACTTCTGAATAATTTCTATCCAGTGATATTGTACCGACGAGTTCAAAAGGAAAGCGAATTATTGTATACAGTTTGGGTCACTCGTTATGGTTCGCAATCAGTGGTCAATAAACTCATCTCTTCGTCTAACAAACTTTCA